AGATAGATAGATAGATAGATAGATAGATAGATAGATAGATAGATAGACTTCTTTAGCTGGTCAGGCTGGCTGGGAGACCAGATGAACAACCAGTCTGGGTGTAACGAGGCTGCTTTAAGCAGGGATTGAACGCGGGTCTCTGGCGCTCTAATAGTGTGAAATTACTCACTGAGCTACTCCCAGAGTTAAACCCAAAAGCAGAAGAGCAAAAAGAGCCAAGGGACTTGAATCTTTAAAAAGTTACAATAACCTTTACTCAGTGGTGTAGTGGTGCCTGGAGAAGTGGGTATACTCTTAATTTATGTCCCCATTTTTTCAACTACTTCTGGGTGGTTGGTAGACAGTTGCTAGGGTGTTCATGATCATTGTTAGGCAGTTGCTAGGGTTTTCTAAGCCATTGATAGATAGATAGATAGATAGATAGACTTCTTTAGCTGGTCAGGCTGGCTGGGAGACCAGATGAACAACCAGTCTGGGTGTAACGAGGCTGCTTTAAGCAGGGATTGAACGTGGGTCTCTGGCGCTCTAATAGTGTGAAATTACTCACTGAGCTACTCCCAGAGTTAAACCCAAAAGCAGAAGAGCAAAAAGAGCCAAGGGACTTGAATCTTTAAAAAGTTACAATAACCTTTACTCAGTGGTGTAGTGGTGCCTGGAGAAGTGGGTATACTCTTAATTTATGTCCCCATTTTTTTAAGCGGTCCAGCAAAGGATGAACGGCCTGTGTTATAAACAGTGATGTAAGACTAGTTTTGCATATTTAGTTCACCCCAAAATGGGCCAGTAGTATTTAAACATTTTCACTTACTGTAAATTCTGCTACTTGACTTCACGGAGAAGTAGGTATACTCTTAATTTATGTCCCCATTTTTTGAAGCGGTCCAGCAAAGGATGAACGGCCTGTGTTATAAACAGTGACGTAAGACTAGTCTTGCATATTTAGTTCACCCCAAAATGGGCCAGTAGTATTTAAACATTTTCACTTACTGTAACTTCTGCTACTTGACTTCCCGGAGTAAGGATCATTATGAAATTAATATTAGCCACAAAAGAGGTGCAGATTTTGCAATAAATAATTAAAATGTAAAAATTACATAGACTGCAACAATTAACATTTTGTCAGAACCTCTAGTAGACAAGCTATTTTGTTTAGTTATCTGTAGGAGGATCATGATCTCTATTTGATACCAAAACATTTTTTTTTTAATTGTGCAGCCTACTCCTATGTTTGACTGACTGTTTCTTCCATGGCATACAGTGACGGGCAAATAGTAACCCTCTACTTCCCCCATACCTTTTTACAATTTATCTATATAGCCTACTAGATTCCTACTGCAAAAATTAAATAAATAAATAAAATAAAAAATAAAATAGTTTTTTTAATACAATTAAGCACTAGTCAAGCTGCAATATCAAACAGGACCACAAGGAGACGCCAAAAGATCACTAAACCTACTGCCTTGACCTGACTGTACAGGCTTCTTTACGGATCCATTCAGAATCTAAAAAACACCTTCAGGCTTCAGCAGCGTCCATTATAAAACACTCGTGCTTTTAAGCCAAATACACGCTAAAAATAATAATTCTGGAGGTGACTCTAAAGGCGGGCGTACACGGTGCGATTCTGAAGGTCGGAACGTTGTGAGCTCTGGCACATGTCACGATTGGGTTTTATCTGAAAATCATATGGAGGCAGTCACACACGACACGAATTTACTACGATTTTACAAACTCTGACGTAAGCATTACGTTTTGCGCCATTCATAAAAATATGGATTCTGAGGACAAAATAGTTTTCTTTGTGGCAGGCGGCTTGTGACGTCCAAAGAAAAAGACGAAGAAAAAAACGAAGACAAAGGACAGGGCAAAGAGAATGGCTGAAAAGCAGAGAAAAGCATGGACTTTCTGTTCTACATAAAGAACTCGAGGGAGTTGGCCATTTCTGAATTTCTGTCCGTTTTGCCGGAAATACAACAGGCACATTCATTCATAAAGCTGAACGGCAAATTTGGCACATTCGGAATAACAAATAAAAAATAGAACTGTATAATTAAACTAAAATTATTATAGACTATGGTTTTTGTCATCTTCTGATTGGTCAACTTCAGATGGATCGCCAAATTGTCTCGCATATACCGCACATACGCCACGAATTTAAACTGACAGCACCCGATTTTTTTTTACATGTTTGAAAATTATCGGGAGGACGGGAGGTGCTTGTAACGTCTCGGATCGGCCCGTAATTTTTCTCACACAGTACGAGCCGCGACTATGCGAGCATCTGCGATTTTCTCCCGAGAGAAAAAAAACGCCTGCAAGCTCGTACGACAGCAAAAATCGCACCATGTATGCCCGCTTTTAGGCTACTGTTTGAAGGCATTCGTTTACTGGATCCTTGAACTGAAAAGTTTACCGGTTTAAAAAAAAATCTGATTGCAAAAACTTGCTTCTTTTCATTTTTAAGGTATTGTTTGCATTATAATGTACAGATTCAAATTAGGAGTCAATAAATAAATATTTTATCACTCTGCATGCCTCCCTGACATGCACTCAAGCCCCAGACCGACTGCTGCTCGTAACGTCTCGGATCGGCCCGTAATTCTTCTCACACAGTACGAGCCGCGACTATGCGAGCATCTGCGATTTTCTCCCGAGAGAAAAAAAACGCCTGCAAGCTCGTACGACAGCAAAAATCGCACCATGTATGCCCGCTTTTAGGCTACTGTTTGAAGGCATTCGTTTACTGGATCCTTGAACTGAAAAGTTTACCGGTTTAAAAAAAAATCTGATTGCAAAAACTTGCTTCTTTTCATTTTTAAGGTATTGTTTGCATTATAATGTACAGATTCAAATTAGGAGTCAATAAATAAATATTATTTTATCACTCTGCATGCCTTCCTGACATGCACTCAAGCCCCAGACCGACTGCGCTTGCATTTACGTGATTTGTCAAGATGAGAGGCGGGCGCGGGCACAATCATCAATCAAATTCAAAGGGAAGCCGGTGCATTCTGACCGCATCACTGTCTTTACTGGGTATGTTTAGGGAATATTTGCGTTTATTCACATGCAATTTGATTAGCTAGTCATGGTGGACTGTCATGATTTTGGCTAACGCAGGACACTACTGAATGATGCGCATCAGAGGGGATTTAGAAGTGGGTATACGCAAAGCCGACTGATAAAGAAGTGGGTATACGCCATATACCTGCGTATACCCTCCACTACACCACTGCCTTTACTAGAGAAACAAATTACAAACATAGAAAACTGAGCTTCCATCAACAAAAAAAAGACACAAGGGTCCAAAAAAATACAAGAAGACACAAACCTAACTTGAGGACTGGCAACTTGATACACAGAAAGAATAGCATCAAGACTGAACACAACAGCAGGGAACAAACAGACTTATAAAGGGTCAAACACAGGTGTGGGGAATCAAAGCTGATGAGCAGAATACTGAACATGGTACGGGGCGATGGTGCCATCTGGAGGAGCGGAGAGACTAGAGTTCATAATACAAGCACCATCTGCAGTTCTGGAAGGAACATGACAAAGTGTTCAAAGAGAGTGATCCCTGCAGACCAGGATGAAAACAGCAATGCAGAGATGAGCCCATTACACTGGGAGACCAGCTTAAACCAGCTTAGGCTTTTGCTGTTTTTTTCCTGTGGGGTAATGTTTTCAATTTAGTTTTTTTTTTGTCTCGTTCTCCTGTACCTGTTCTCTTCAGGTATATGCAGAGCCATCATGGTGAGAGGCTCTGTACATTCCACCATCCAGCCGTGCCTCTCGCTCACCCGCCCCACTTTTGGATTCAGGAAGTGGTTAGGCATCCGGCTCCAGATCACAGGGGTCAGCATCTCAACATCCAGCCGAGGAGGACACTGGGGCACCGGGTTATTGCGCTCACTACGGAACATGGCTGCCGAAAGAGGCATGATATTCTATAGGATGGAGAAGGGAAGTGAGAAATTTAAGGCTACAAATTTTTAGTAAAAGTATTTCTAAAAGAAAGCTGATGACTTTTAGTGCCAGAAACAGAGGATAGTGCAGACCTTGAGTTTTCCGAGTTCCAGCTGCAGCATGTTCTGGCTGGTCGGCAAAACAAACACAGCTGGAAATAACTTAGTGTTGGGCTCCACCTGACAAAGCATATGTATAAATATGAGTTCGAATTAAGAAAATGCACGCCTAACAGGGACTTTTTAAGTGCCACTACAGTTCCTCCTTTGAAGAGATGACCTTCACTTACCTGGTAGAAAGTGTTGATCTCTTTCCCATTGGCTGTGAAATTCATGAGACCTGTTGCCAGGTCAACCAAACAACCAATCACCAGATCCTCCTGGCTAAACCTCTGCTGGGTGCTGCTGCCAAACTCTCCTCCCCACACCATATAGCAGTTACTCCTCTTTATACTGATAAGCAAACAGAACATTGTAAGTGTTCTTGAGTGATGAATAAATAAATATTTGTAGCTTAATCAAAATTATAAAATAATGCAATACCGTCAAAAAGTTTGTGGTCTTTATTTCTTTTTCTTTCTTTGTAATGAGTCATTTTATTTAGAAAGGATATATACATTTCTATTTTATAATTCCATTTTAAATAAATGCTGTTTTTTTCAAATAAATGGTGTTTCTTGAGCACCAAATCAGCACATTAGAATGATTTCTGAAAGATCGTGTGTCACTGAAGACTGAAGTAAAGACTGCAGAAATTTCAGCTTTGACATAACAGCAATTAATTATATTTTATAATATATTAAAATAGAACATAATTATTTTGAATTGTAATGATATTTTACTGTCATTTCAATAAAATAAATGCAGCCTTGGTAAGCATAAGAGACACTAAAAAATATTTTTTCATTTAAATAAAAAAAAAACAATCCTAATTTAATCGTTTAAATAAAATTTTATTTGCTGATAGTGTTTTACATTAAGTATTTTTCTTACCCAATTTCTAGCAAAGAAAGTGTTCATTATTTTAAGCATAAATCTGTCAAAAAAATAGTGAGGTTTGTGCTTAAAATAAGAACTATTTGCCAATGGAACAAGAAATTCAAATTATATTCTCTGAATATATATATATATATATATATTATATGTATTGTTTCTCAAATACATTTATCTTGTTTTAAGGTTGTTTAGATTTTTATTGAAAATCTATTTTATTTCAATAATTTTTCTAGATCCAAAAGTTTTAAATGTGTGTTGTACATCCAAGATACTACACTGAAAATATGATAAATCTTAACTAATTCTGATGGTTGGTGACCACTGGTGCACTGCTCTTACATCACCAAAATCAATATTCACCTACATCACCTCACTATATTCCGAACATTTATTTTTAACTAAACGCTTCTCCGCACTGCAGCTTCTTGTATTTATCCTCGCTGGCCCACATTTCAGTAATTTGACATGGCAGATCAGTGAGCTGAATTTTTATATCATCTCACCTGTCATGTATATTGCCCTTGTCGTCTCCAACAGTGACAGTGACAGTGCGGACCTTAGACAGGTCATAGTTGAGGTCATACATGTGGAAGTCTGGGGTGACCCAACCCACCCATACCCCACTAGGTTCTTGACCGGCGAAGATACGGACTGAGTAATAGTACTGCACAGTTGAGACAGGGAGAGAGAAGCATAAGTAAAAAAAACAAGAGCGAAGAGTGTGTTATATATAACAGATCTAGTAATGAAGACTGACTGTGGTTGTATTGAGGATGATCTCTGGGTCATCACGATCGTCAGGCACCACATCTTCAAACAAACGGGGCATAATAGGTGGAGGTGGAGGAGGAGCAATCATGGCTGCCTTTTTAGCTTTAAACAGGAAGCTGAGGGAATAATTTTGGGGGTGTTTTTCAATATTTTACATTTTTTAAATATACAAATATTAGCAGAAACTTCTTAAAAGTCCTCAGATCTCACCCTTTCTTCTTTCCTTTCTCGGATGCAGTGTCTTTGTCATTTTCCTTATTGCTTGGGATATCTTTGGGCATGGATGGCTCCTTTTCCTTCTCCTCCTGCTCTTTGCGACTGGCTGACTTCTTCAGCACCTCAAAGTCAGAGTCGGGGTCCACCTCCAGCACCTCTTCTTCAGGGATGGTGAGGGTTCGTGTGAGGGGAGTAGTGCCTGCAGTCACCATGAAGGTCAGGTGGAACTCTACAGGCATGCTCAGTCTGAAGAACAGCATGTCTGTGTTGGCATTTTGGGATCCAAAAGTCTTGTGGGTTATTTTAATACAGGGGGCGCTGTCTACGGTTCCATCCACACGAGAGACCTACAGGTCACATGAGAACAATAAAAAGGTTGATAAACTTTATCTATACCTTTAAACTCAACTAAATGACACAAAAATTGCTTAAATACAGTACCTCAATGTGGTTGTGGTCCGTGGGCACTGGAACATACTGGGGGAGGCTCTTACTGAACCACATTGTGATGTCTCTCTTCATGTTGATGGCGAATGGCTCAAAGCCTTCTTGGAGCCCACAGATGGCGAAGTAGCGTAGGCTGCTAACATTCTGACCCAGGTTAATACGGGCAACCTGAGAAAGACCCAAAGTGCAGACTGGAATAAAACCTGGATGGAGAAGAACAAAGAGAAGAAGCTGATTTAGTAGAGGTGGGGGAGGGGGTGAAGACAACATAGTATTGCAATATTTTGAATGGCAATATTGTTTTTATCTTTTATTATATACACTGCAAATATGAAGTGAACTTTTGATACTAGAATAATAATTGCTTTTTCAGTCTATAGTGCTGTTTATTTGTATTTTTTTCAGAGATGGAGACATCGGAGAAATAAATCAGAAAGCATCCTGCGATTAAATAAGATTAAAAGGAAGAGATGAAGGAGATGGATATGACACATAAGATTTGCGAGGAGTGCGGTATGAAAATAAAACACTCCGGAAATACCATGAACATGAGGACTCACCTTACACTCCACCATCCATTAGCATTAGCCTTAGCACAGGGTGGCCAAGTTGACAATAAATCAGCTACTTTTAGGACTTTTTCCATTGAAAAAAGGTATTAAATCATAATGTATGGTGTTGTGATGCTCTGCATGTCACAAAATGTGTAAAATTGCAATAATATCATATTGTAACTTAGGAATCATGGGGGCTCTGGTAGTAGCGTTAGTGTTAGCTTTAGCTAAGTATGGTAAATCAGCTTTTTGGGGGGGAATTTGCTTTAGAAAATATATGTTATCGCAACACTCAGCATGTCACAAAATGTATAAAACTGCAATAATAGTGTATCATGACTTAACCATGATAATATTGTACTGTGGGGCCTCTGGTAATTTCCACTTGTGGCGAGGGGGGTGTGGTGCAGCGAAGTCTACTGCGAGAGAGAGAGTCGGGAAACTGGCGGGGCGTAAGTAGGTCAAGTGCAAGATGACAAACACCTGTGTCTTATTGCAGTAATTGGCGTGGAGAGACCGAATAAAAGCCGTCAGGAATGAGAGAGGGGGAGAGATGCTGGACGGACGACTCGTGGTCAAAGAGACTGGGACTGTGTGAAGCGGCTGATTGTGATTACGTGAAAGTTTGAGTTGGAGGCACGGAGAACGCAGGTTTTGTTTATTTTGTGAGAAACCAATAAAGAACCACGAGCCTCCGTAACCAACCCTGCCTTCGTCCTTTACACCCACACATACGAACTATACCACACCATGCTTTTCACTAATTTACAGAGGAGAACAGTGATTTGTACTTCAAATCTAATTCTGCATTGCCTCAAGATAGTATTTTGACAGAACTTTCAAAATTGTTGTAATTGCAAACTCCTTATTCTTTTTTTTTATAACAAACTTTAAATTAATTCACATGCACTAAATGTAAAGTCTTCTGTAGTCATGAAATGGCCTACTAAAGCCACATATCATATTAGATTTTGAGGAAAAACCCAGAGAATAACTTAAATTTTGCCCTGTTTCCCCCCCCCCTTATGGGTCCAAAGCTATTGAACGGCTTAAAATGTAGCATATTAATCATATGGACAATTTTTATGATGCTTTTTTTTTGTCAAAAAAACAAAACAAAAAAAACAAGGCAACAATAACAAACCTTGTGAGACTCATTCAAAAACTAACTACAGACTTTTCCTGACCAGCTAAATGACAAAGCTTATTAAACAAAACACATTATCCTTCAAAACAACTAATTGAAACCCCATTGATAAACAACGTTATAGCCTAAATCCTCACCGTCTCCAATCTCAATGTCTTTGAAGGCCATTTCAGAGCCAGAATCACTGATCAGCATCTCTCCATTAAGAGTGAACATGATGTTCATTTCAATGAGGTCTATCATGCACCCGACCACATCACCAGACTGCCATTGACGGCCAAATGGCTCATTACCAATGTGCCATCGCTGAGCCTGCAGGAAGAGCAGAGGAGAGTAATTCAGCGTTTATTGCAGCTATCCAAAATAGTTTGTCAGCAACTTGAGCGGCACACAAAATGTATTGGTCCAATTAGCCGGAAAGATGGCCTACAGCCTGGTACCATATAACACAGCAGAATGAGATTGATACGACACCACTGACCCTGTTTCCATTAAAGACATAGGCCAGCTCATCAGAACCAAGCTCAACGTCAGAGCGGACGTTCGGTCGAGCCCAGCCAACTCTCATCTCTCCTGTGGTTACGGCCTCAAACTCAAAGTACCATTTTCCTGAGGTAACAGCATACTGCTTCTCTGCCCTGAAGATACGCACTTTATCTCCACGTGCGTTCTCAACACCAAGACCACCTATGGGGGAAAGAGAGATTAGGACTGCAAAAACTATACGAATCCCAACAGATATGTATCTGAAGTTGGCCAATGACTTCATTAAGGTCTGTTCCATATTTGTGATCCTAATAGTGATAGGAGCTGACAGGAGAGCAAAGACTCACTGCTCTCCTGATCTGGGGGCTCGATGTTGTATCCATAGCCAATCAGAGTGCGCACAGCATTGTTCACACTGTCTCTGTTGGTCTTCTTGGTTTTCTCATCCAGCAGGTTGTAAGGTACCAGACGAGGGTTACGCTTATTCAAAATGTCCTGAGGGTCACAAGGTTAGTAACAAGAGTACGTTTTTGAAATATTATTAACTGAATTCCAGGTCACAGAAATTCAAAAAAAGTCACACAACAAAGGTCCTGTCACGGTTTCTGTTAGTTTGGACTTTATTTGCACTGTTCTCACTGAGTTGTTTCTAATTTGAGTTTGTCATTATGTTCAGGCGTGTCTCATTAATTATCCTCATTTGGTCTGTGTACTTAAGTTCCTGTCTGTTCAGTTAGTGTTTGTTGGGTATATACCCTTGTGTGGATCTATTAAAGATCGTTAACCTTCTTCTTCATGTTCGTGCGTGTTCATCAACACCATATCGTGGCAGGTCCAAAATATGATATCTAATTTGGTAACACTTTAGTATAGGGACCAATTCTCACTATTAGCTAGTTGCTTATTAGCATGCTTATTATTAACATATTGGCTGTTTATTACTGTTTATAAAGCAAATATTCTGCATGACCATATTCTACGTCCCTAATCCTACCCAATACCTTAATTTAACAACTACCTTACTAACTATTAATAAGCAGCAAATTAGGAGTTTATTGAGGCAAAATCATAGTTAATGGTTTGTTAATAGCGAGAATTGGACCCAAACTGTTAACCAATTATAGTTATTAATTCCCAGATTTTTTTTTAACTAGACATTATACTGTCGTAACAATTAACAAAGCCGACAAAACATTTTAATTATAATTTTGCCATACACTTTATAAAAATAAATATATTGACATTAAAATTTGAATCTATTGATTATATATCATTAAGATATAATCACATGGTATGGTCTGGGAAATAAAGCACCTTTCCACCATGATCTATAAGATTTTGAAATAAAAATATAATGAATTATTATTATTATAAATTCATATAGGTATCATTTTAAACATTGATTATTGTTTTATCATTTTTATGGAAATACAAATGTTGTGTGCATAAATGTTTATGGGCAATTCATGCTTATTGCTATTATTAGAAGTATTACTATTACTAATAAATATTATTGAAATTTCATTACCTTTTAATTTGAATTTTAATCATGTTCCCTGCAAATGAAATTCAGTATTTGAATTGTCATTTGAAAGGCTTGCCCCTTTTCACAGACTGTGGCGGCACATTTTATACTTATTAATATTGTAAATCTAGCAACGTTTTTTTTCTTTCATTTTTTTTATACACTGTACTTTGTTATATTAACCTGAAATTAAATTTCAGTAAACCAGTTAAACAGAAAACTAGTTAACACAGTGACTAGAGGATGACTGAGGACAATTTTCTCACTTAGAAACATGTTTCATTGTGACAGAGTCAGCATAGTATCCACATCTACCTGCAAAATGCTGTAGGTCCATCCTTGTCTCACTCTGTCCCGTGCCCAAACATTATGCCCATTTTCTGCCAACTTCTCCACCAACTGGTTCTGATTGGGTGTCAGTTTGACGTGACTGAGGTCTAGTGGAGCTGGTTTGTACCCACTGCTCATCACATAACTGACCAAGAAAAAGAAAAACATGAAAACCAAAACATTATACATTATACAAGACAAAAACCTGGGTGCGTTTTTTGGTTTTCTTACGTTTTGGGCAATTTGATTTTCTTCAGATTCTCCTCAGCTTTCTCATCTCCCATGCCTACATGGCAGCCCAAAGCTAAGAGGGTTCTGGAGAGGTCAAGGTGAAACAAGTTGGATGGACAGATGGATGCATAAGCAATGACCTTTAGACATTTGATATTCAACAGTCACTCACTTCAAGGTCTCTCCAGACATCTGGAGGTTATAATTCCTCTCGGGTTCTGGAAGATTCTGAAAGTCCACCAGACACGGGTGCAACTTCTTATTATCATCCCTGAACTGAGAGAGAGAGAGCATTTAACTTTTTAATAAGGATGTTGATTTTGTATGTACAGTATGCTTGTGCTTGCGTTGGTGTTTATTTGAGAAAGACAGAGAAAGAAGGCGCTCACCACTCCGTAGGTCCAACCCTGCTCAATACGAGTCACAGCCCAGAGCTCATGGATGTTTTCTGCAAGCTTCTCTCTGATCCGCTCCAAATGAGGAGGTAGAACAATCTACAAATGACATTACATACATAATACATACACTGACTGCTGAGTCAAAGTGTTTTTGGCAAGCAACAGTGGAGTTGTATGTGGTTAGTTTAGTTTACCTGGGCAGTGTCAACAGGACAGGGAGTGAATGAAGTGTGTGTAAGGGACTGTGTGGGGCCCAGCAGGTTTCTGACTCCATTAAAGTCATGTTTATACTCCTTAATGGGCTCGATGCGCATTCTGTCTTTGGGGAGAAGAGCTTCATAACATGGTGTGTAACCAGGAGGGGGCAAAAACTTGAAATCCCCATGGCGACCACCCAAAAGGAAGCGAGCTCTGAAAAATGAAATGGAAAAAAGGTGATTGTAGTTTTTTGTTGTTTTCATTTATAAATTATTCTCTGTCAGATTTTTTCATGTTGAGAAGTCTCTTATGCTCACCAATGCTGCATTTATTTGGTCAATAAAACTATAAAACAGTCAATTTGTTAAATATTATTCAAATTTAAAATAACAATTTTTTTTATTTATTTACAGTCATTGCTACTATCTTCTACGGTGGCCCAGTAGTGCAATGTTGAGAAGTCTCTTATGCTCACCAATGCTGCATTTATTTGGTCAATAAAACTATAAAACAGTCAATTTGAAATATTATTAACATTTAAAATAACAATTTTTTTTATTTATTTACAGTCATTGCTACTATCTTCTACGGTGGCCCAGTAGTGCACAACACAACGAAATCTCCACAACACAACGGAAACAAGCCGCAAGGTAACATAATTAGCACAACAGAACAGAAATAAGCCACAACACAATGAAAATTAGCACAACAAAACGGAAATAAGCCACAACAAAACAGAAACAAGTCGCAACACAAGGGAAACAAGGCGCAACACAACGAAATTAGCACAACACAACAGAAATAAGTCGCAACAGAACAGAAATAAGTCGTAACACAACGAAATTAGCACAACACAATGGAAATAAGTTGCAACAGAACAGAAATAAGTCGTAACACAACGAAATTAGCACAACACAATGGAAATAAGTCGCAACACAACAGAAATAAGTCGCAACACAACGAAATTAGCACAACACAATGGAAACAAGTCACAACACAATTAAATTAGCACAACACAATGAGATTAGTCCTATGCATTGTGTTGTGGCGATTTCGTTGTGTTGTGCACCGCTGGACCACCATCATTTTCATTGTCACATGATTCCTCAGAAATCATTCTAATATGCTGTGCTCAAGAAACATTTCTTACAATATTTGTTTGTGGAAATGTTTTTTCAGGATCATTTGGTAAAGTTCAAAAGAATAGCATACAGAGTAAACAAGCATTTTGAAGCATTATAAATGATTTTAACGTTTACTTTTGATCAATTTAATATACCCCTGCTAAAAAGTATTAATTTCTTTAAAAATAATAATAAATATAAATAATTTATGTGCAAAATCGGAAGCTAGAGATTACTGTTCATAACATTTTAAGTATAGATATTTTCTTACAAAAATGCACCAGTTTGCTTTAGGAGGCCTTTATTAACCCCCCGGAGCCATGTGGGACACTTTTTATGATGGATGGACGCTTTATTGGACTTCTTTTGTACTACTGAAAAATAACACCCATTCACTGCTATTATAAAGTTTGGAAGAGCAAGGACATTTTTTAATATGGATTCATCTGAAAGAAGAAAGTCATATACACATAGGATGCCTTGAGTGTGAGTAAATCATGGGGCAGTTTTCATTTTTTGATGAACTATCCTTTTCATGAAAAGGTTATGTAATACAAAACAATAATGCTAATTACTTCACTCCAGCAGAGAAGCTAATGACGGGAAAGAAGAGGCCGTCTACGTTAAAGTTCTCAAACATTCCCTGGACTGGATGGCCATTGATACGGAAGGAGATACTGGGCACACTCAGATCCAGACAGCAGCTCACAACATCATCTGCTGCCAGGATGTGCTGGTTGGGCGAAGCAACCTGACGTGACACATGACCTACAAAGAGCAAAAATATGGTTTAAGGACTACAAACCCTCACACATATAGAATATAGAAGATCACCACACTAACCTGACCACAAATGAAGGCCATCAAAACCATAAGAATATAGGTCATCACCCACACCATTGCCACCCCAACCCTCTCCTCCTCCTGGGTATGGACTGAAGCCCTCAGTCAGAGCCCAGCCAACACGCAGATGGGTAGCCTGAGCTGCCACAAATGGTTCCACATAGTCTACCATCACCTCATAGTACCACTTCTTATACTGTGTAGAGCCTTCACAAGTCCCCAAGAAGATATTGGGCCTCACGCTACAAGAAGTAAGTCACATTTATGTAGTTAAAGAGTTTGAAATCTTTTCAATTTCTTTGATTTAGTGCACCTTCAGGAACAAAAGCTGCAGTAAAAGAAAACAAGGTGCAATGCAGCATTTTTAATTGGACGAAAACCAACAGATATTACCTTGATACATAGTTAACGATGTTAGTCTGCAGCAGGAGGTCACGGCCCGGAAGCAGATTTTCTGTGATGAGGTTTTGATTGGACCTCACAGCGACACCGTTACACACACACAGAGAACGCAATACATCTAAAACCTGTCCGGACAAAGGCAGAGGACAGTGAGATCTTCAGTGTGTAGCAAAATGATAAATGTTATTTGACCTAAATCACGTTTGCAGTCAGACCTTATGGTTTCGACCGTGCTTGTCCATATTTACAGTCATTGCTACTATCTTCTACGGTGGCCCAGTAGTGCACAACACAACGAAATCTCCACAACACAACGGAAACAAGCCGCAAGGTAACATAATTAGCACAACAGAACAGAAATAAGCCACAACACAATGAAAATTAGCACAACAAAACGGAAATAAGCCACAACAAAACAGAAACAAGTCGCAACACAAGGGAAACAAGGCGCAACACAACGAAATTAGCACAACACAACAGAAATAAGTCGCAACAGAACAGAAATAAGTCGTAACACAACGAAATTAGCACAACACAATGGAAATAAGTCGCAACACAACAGAAATAAGTCGCAACACAACGAAATTAGCACAACACAATGGAAACAAGTCACAACACAATTAAATTAGCACAACACAATGAGATTAGTCCTATGCATTGTGTTGTGGCGATTTCGTTGTGTTGTGCACCGCTGGACCACCATCATTTTCATTGTCACATGATTCCTCAGAAATCATTCTAATATGCTGTGCTCAAGAAACATTTCTTACAATATTTGTTTGTGGAAATGTTTTTTCAGGATCATTTGGTAAAGTTCAAAAGAATAGCATACAGAGTAAACAAGCATTTTGAAGCATTATAAATGATTTTAACGTTTACTTTTGATCAATTTAATATACCCCTGCTAAAAAGTATTAATTTCTTTAAAAATAATAATAAATATAAATAATTTATGTGCAAAATCGGAAGCTAGAGATTACTGTTCATAACATTTTAAGTATAGATATTTTCTTACAAAAATGCACCAGTTTGCTTTAGGAGGCCTTTATTAACCCCCCGGAGCCATGTGGGACACTTTTTATGATGGATGGACGCTTTATTGGACTTCTTTTGTACTACTGAAAAATAACACCCATTCACTGCTATTATAAAGTTTGGAAGAGCAAGGACATTTTTTAATATGGATTCATCTGAAAGAAGAAAGTCATATACACATAGGATGCCTTGAGTGTGAGTAAATCATGGGGCAGTTTTCATTTTTTGATGAACTATCCTTTTCATGAAAAGGTTATGTAATACAAAACAATAATGCTAATTACTTCACTCCAGCAGAGAAGCTAATGACGGGAAAGAAGAGGCCGTCTACGTTAAAGTTCTCAAACATTCCCTGGACTGGATGGCCATTGATACGGAAGGAGATACTGGGCACACTCAGATCCAGACAGCAGCTCACAACATCATCTGCTGCCAGGATGTGCTGGTTGGGCGAAGCAACCTGACGTGACACATGACCTACAAAGAGCAAAAATATGGTTTAAGGACCACAAACCCTCACACATATAGAATATAGAAGATCACCACACTAACCTGACCACAAATGAAGGCCATCAAAACCATAAGAATATAGGTCATCACCCACACCATTGCCACCCCAACCCTCTCCTCCTCCTGGGTATGGACTGAAGCCCTCAGTCAGAGCCCAGCCAACACGCAGATGGGTAGCCTGAGCTGCCACAAATGGTTCCACATAGTCTACCATCACCTCATAGTACCACTTCTTATACTGTGTAGAGCCTTCACAAGTCCCCAAGAAGATATTGGGCCTCACGCTACAAGAAGTAAGTCACATTTATGTAGTTAAAGAGTTTGAAATCTTTTCAATTTCTTTGATTTAGTGCACCTTCAGGAACAAAAGCTGCAGTAAAAGAAAACAAGGTGCAATGCAGCATTTTTAATTGGACGAAAACCAACAGATATTACCTTGATACATAGTTAACGATGTTAGTCTGCAGCAGGAGGTCACGGCCCGGAAGCAGATTTTCTGTGATGAGGTTTTGATTGGACCTCACAGCGACACCGTTACACACACACAGAGAACGCAATACATCTAAAACCTGTCCGGACAAAGGCAGAGGACAGTGAGATCTTCAGTGTGTAGCAAAATGATAAATGTTATTTGACCTAAATCACGTTTGCAGTCAGACCTTATGGTTTCGACCGTGCTTGTCCAAGAGAGAAATGATAGACTTGATGTGATTCTCCTGAATGATGTTCAAGACTTCAGGACTTTCAATCAAAACACAATACAGCACCTCTAGGATGCCTGCAGACCAACAGATAAGAAAGAAGTATGTGGCAAGGTTTAAAGATGGGTTGTTAGTCATTTTGTGGCATTTGTTGACCGTGTGCTCGGGGAAGGTTTTATATATACCTGAAGAAGCTTCCAGACGATCCAGTTTACTAACCAGCCAGTCAAGGTTATCGCAAAACAGAGCACAGTTAGAACGGTTTCCTCTAATCAGCGATGCTGTGAAAACAGAGACACATTCACTAACAGAATCCATCAATCTGATAAAAAAAAGAAATCAAATGAAGAATGGATGAAACAGAAAAAATACATATCTTTTTAATAAAGTATGCTTTTTTAGATGCTATTCAATAAGCCTTTTATGCTCATCATGGTTGCATTTAGTTAATCAAATTTTCTATTTTAACATATCTTCACTAGTAAAAAAGTAATATATTTAAAATACATTTATCTCAAACTAAGTTTAGTTCAAATATATTATCATATTTACTGACATATTGCTTGAGACTTGCTGATATAAAATTTACAATTCAACTTTATTTGGAGTACTACTTGTGCACAATGCACATTTCTTATGTGTTTTAATGTCACTATTGATGAGGACTGTATGATTTTTGAATAGTATCATCTTTAAATGCAAGATATTTAAAGTGTACCTGAAGTATACTTCAATATATCTTTAGTTGGACTTCAGCACTGCTTCCTCACAATTAAAGTGCATTAAATATAAAATTAGTTTTTCCAATTTAGCAGACTTTAAGCATACCAGTTTTGTATACCAAAAGTACAATTGCAGGGTATTTTTATTAAGTACATAAACATGTAAATGTATTTGTAGTATATTTAGCATTAAATAAACGTATTTCAAATAAATCTTAGTATATTTATTTTTCACTAGGCTTAAAACGCAATCATAACCAATATTAATAACTGAGCACTAATAATAATTGATAGTAATTAAGAACACATTCACAAACAGAATCCATCAATCTGATAAAAAAAATAAATCAAATGAAGAATGGATGAAACAGAAAAAATACATATCTTTTTAATAAAGTATGCTTTTTTAGATGCTATTCAATAAGCCTTTTATGCTCATCATGGCTGCATTTAGTTAATCAAATTTTCTATTTTAACATATCTTCCCTAGTAAAAAAGTTATATATTTAAAATACATTTATCTCAAACTAAGTTTAGTTCAAATATATTATCATATTTACTGACATATTGCTTGAGACTTGCTGATATAAAAATTACAATTCAACTTTATTTGGAGTACTACTTGTGCACAATGCATATTTCTTATGTGTTTTAATGTCACTATTGATGAGGACTGTATGATTTTTTAATAGTATCATCTTTAAATGCAAGATATTTAAAGTGTACCTGAAGTATACTTCAATATATCTTTAGTTGGACTTCAGCACTGCTTCCTCACAATTAAAGTGCATTAAATATAAAATTAGTTTTTCCAATTTAGCAGACTTTAAGCATACCAGTTTTATATACCAAAAGTACAATTGCAGGGTATTTTTATTAAGTACATAAACATGTAAATGTATTTGTAGTATATTTAGCATTAAATAAACGTATTTCAAATAAATCTTAGTATATTTATTTTTCACTAGGCTTAAAACGCAATCATAACCAATATTAATAACTGAGCACTAATAATAATTGATAGTAATTAAGCACAAAATCAGCATTTTTTCCCTGAAGGATCATGTGACTCTGTAGCACAGGAATAAATTGCATTTTAAAATAGAAAACAGTACTTTTAAATTGTAATATTTCACAAGACAAGACTTTTACTGTATTTTTGATCAAATAAATTCAGCCTTGGTAAGCATAAGAGACTTCTTTCAAAAACATAAAAAAATTAAATGTATATCTATTTATATTCAGTCACCAAGCAGTTCATAGAGCAGGTTGACAATCTCTTTCCAGGATTCCAGGATTCCCTCTCCGGCAAACTCAGAGAAGTGTGCAGCAGTGTTGTAGACATTCAGGCGGTCGATACACTCCAGCACGATGGTGATCATCCCCTGCAACAGAAAAGAGACATTAATTAAAGGGCATCAGGGCTGACTGTCAGACAGACAGACACAAACACACACACACACACACACACACACACACACACCTCTTCTTGGAAGAGGTTCTGTCGGTTGCGTAGCGAGCGCAGCTTGGTCTGTTTCTCCTCGTGTTCCAGCTCCTCCTCTGGAGGCCGGAAGTAATGGATCAGATCCTGCAAGGACAGGATCACTCCATCCAATGGCAGGGACACCGGACCGGGGGATTTGTTCTTCCCACTCAAAGAGTCCAGACCTCTGATGTACAAGAGAGAGAAGAGGATGCATGCACATTCACACACAGATACACACACAAGAAAATATAAGGCAACTGTCTACAAATATTTTCTTAAATAATCAGTCTGAATAGGCTAATTTTCAAAGCTTTTTAGCAAGCTTTAATTTTATTATAAATATGTAAAAAATACTTTAATTAATTAATTAATTAAATTGTTTATTTATACAGACATACATATATACATTCATACTTGCAAACCAAAAGTTTGGTGTCAGTAAGTATTCTCTTATGTTCATCAATGCTGAATTTATTTGATTAAAACAATATAAAATATTTTATATAAATATTATATATATACTATACTAATATAAAACATTATTATAAAACAATACAAAAAATTATATTTAATAAAAATGTAATTGTGAAATATTATTACAATTTAAAATAACTGTTTTCTATTTTAATATACTGTAAAATGTAATGTAAAATGTAACATGCAATTTTCAATCAAATTATCCTTCAGAAATCAATTAATATTCTGCTTCAAGAAACATTATCAATGTCGAACACAGTTATACATATAATACATATACATACATATAAACAGCTATATATATAATATTTTTGTGGGAACCATGTTAATTTTCAATTCAAAAAAACATAATTTTATTTTCAATTAATTTAATTATTTATTATTCAATTAAAATGTTTTTAATTAATGTCTTAAAAAATTAAGATAAAAAAATGCACCAAAGTAATGCATAATAAAATGTCATATTGCTTATATTTTCACTTTCTTTCTTTTTTTTTATCAAACAATAAATGTAACAATAGAATGTCACCGAATTCTTATCCTGCCTATAAAGCATTACACAATATTCAGTGACAGTAATATACAGTATAAATGAATGTTAGATTGTATGTGATGTACAGTCGTACTTGATAAACTGTGTAAAAAGGCCTGTGGTGCTGTAGATCATACGAGCAGCCTGAGACTCTTCCATCTGAGAGCGAGAGCAAGTCAGTGCATCATCCATGTGGCCCTCTTGATGTAATATGGCCTGAGAGAAAGATAAAGAACGAGTTTGGATTAAATGTAAGATCATAAGATCATAAGAAAACAGTTTCACTTCAGGTGTGTGAGTTGGTGTCATGTAGTTTGGTGCACACCATAGCAGTCCTTAAAGAGACGGTTCTCCCAAAAAAGAAAATTCGAACATTGTTTACCAATCTTATGTTGCTCCAAATCCGTTTTTGGGTCACAAGAGGAGATTATGTATTATTCACCCAAAAATGACAGTTCTGGCATGATTTACCCCCATGTCGTTCCAAACCTTTAACTTTCTTCTGTACATTATATACGTACATTATATAAATATATATATAATGTACAGAAGAAAGTCAAAGGCTTCCAGAACTGTCATTTTTGGGTGAATTCACCACAACAGCTGTGTCCATCTAGAATGAGTCAGCATGTTACTTCCTCGTTTGCCTTTGTACATTAGCACTGACTCAGGCGTCTTCTCAGCTGCCTATGTGTCAGCTTTTCAATAAAAGCAAAATCAAAAATGTTAAAGATAAACCTAATTTAACTAAAACTGCCATGGTAATAACCTACAGGAAGGTTCTTGAATGCCTTGAAAATATTAATTCCTATGTTTTAGGACTATAAATTGCATAGGTATATGTAATATACCTCATCGGGGTCATTGGATGCGACATGCACTTTTACAAGTTGTCTGAACTGAAATGTGTGTTGGCAGTGTGTGTACACACAACCACCCTATAATGTTAAAGATTTTTTTATCTCGTTAAATCATTTCCCCTTTCTCATATCAAGCCATTCTCAGATGCCTGTCTGTGTGACGTCACACAGACCCAGGCCCCTCCCATGACTGTTGATTGACACTAGTGTTTTACCTTAGACCCGCCCTGAGTGAGCTGTCATCAGTCCGCCACTGTTTCAACGCCAGAGCAGGAGTAGACAAGAATGTCTCCTAAGTGATTGAGTCGTCATTTACTCCCGACATCTGAGCCGCTGAAGATGCAGTGGATTAGCTTTGTTTTTGAAGGGAATGCGCCCCCGATCTACCTAAATGCATTTATGTTGGCGAGAATCATTTGTGATCCAGCCTCACCTACAGAAGAAGCGAGTATAAGGTTCTTTTATGAATCTCTGCAAATCACCTTTCCTAATAACGTGCTAGTTAGAAAGTTCCGTGACTAAAGTAAACAGTATCATGAGAACGGCTTGTTACCCCACGGAAGAGAGGGGCGGGGTTCCTTGTCATTTAAAGGAACATGCATTAAACGTCTTGCTGAAAACAGCTGATTTTGACAAGGTAAAAAGGGTGTTGTTTTACACTACCATTGAGAAATTTTAACCAAGGTATGTTATAGACTTTTCATTAAGACCCTAAAGAATCATATCAACTTGTGGAAAATGGGCATCCGATGACCCCTTTAAATAAATAAAAAATAAATAAATTCAATAATGAAATGAAACATACTGTATATTTAAAATAAATAAATATATATAAATATGTGATTGTTTGAAATTATTTTACCATAGTGTCTTGTTTGACGAGTTACCCAACTGTCTCTTTAGTATGCAGAAAGAGCAGCATCTGGAAACTTGAAAGCACTTGGTGCATCTTATCAAAATCTACCTAAAATACTTCTAATTTTAAATGCAATCTATTTTTCATAAATGTTACCAATTTATTTTTCCATATGCTGAAATGGTTACAAGGTTTATTTGAGGTATTTATGGTATGCTGATGTCTTAGCTATTATGATCTGTCACAGTAATAACACAGAACCTGTGGGGTAATGATTTGAAAATATCATTCCGCTCTGAAAAATGATTGAAGAATATTGGTAAAATTCAGGCAAATGAAGTACTGTTAAATTCTTTAATCCACAAATCAAAGGATTTTAGAAATTTTTTAGCTGGTTTGTATCATTTAGTAAAATCACACAATGATGAGATGAAATGAAAAGGCTGATGTTAGCATAAATGATTATACTACTGTGGAGGTTAGTAGTGAAAAAACAAAACAAAAAACAAACTTTTTTTTTTTTTTCAAGCTTAATTTGTCTGATTGTTTTCCAGATTAGCCTCTTTTAGTTTGTATGAGATATTTTTTATGGATCTGAAGCCTATAGAACCTGCTAGCTATTATTTGTTTATTTGTTTGTGGAAAATCTGCTGAATGCTGTAGAATGAATTGGTAATTTAAATTATTTTTGATAGCAGAAAACATAATCAAATTAGTTAAAATACTTCATAAATAAACATGCCAGGGGCAAAACATATGTAATACTCTGTGAATTTAAATTTTAGGATTTTGAAAAATGCAAAACCATGTAATGTGGGTATAAACAAAGAGCGAATAAAAACAAATGCAGCTTTAAAAAAAAGCAGTCTGACAGCATATTAAATTTGTTATTTCAATGAAAATGTTGAACACTCATTCTTGGCTAACATGAAAGGGGCCACACAGATATGTCCATGTTTCAAAGGGATAGTTCACCCAAAAATGAAAATTCTGTCATTAATTACTCACTCGACTCATGTCGTTCCAAATCCGTAAGACCTTTGTTCATCTTCGAAACACAAATTAAGATATTTTTGATGAAATCTGAGAGCTTTCTGACCCTGCATAGATGGAAATGGAACTACCACGTTCAAGTCCCAGAAACGTAGTAAGGATTTGGAATGACATGAGGGGGAGTAATTAATGAGAGAATTTTCATTTTTGGGTGAACTATCCCTTTGAAACATGGACATATCTGTGTGGCCCACTGGTTTCATGCTTATCAGCTTTCAGGTTAGCCAGGAATGAGTGTTAGTGCTGTGGGCCGTACGCTGAGGATCATATCCTTATCCAAGATTCGGTGGCACTGAGCTCATCTTACACACAGGAATGCTCTCTCTCTCTTTCTCTCTCTATTTCTTACAAATGTATACACTTATACACACGGAGGAAATCTGAAAGCTTTCTGACCCTGCATAGATGGAAATGGAACTACCACGTTCAAGTCCCAGAAACGTAGTAAGGATTTGGAATGACATGAGGGGGAGTAATTAATGAGAGAATTTTCATTTTTGAGTGAACTATCCCTTTGAAACATGGACATATCTGTGTGGCCCACTGGTTTCATGCTTATCAGCTTTCAGGTTAGCCAGGAATGAGTGTTAGTGCTGTGGGCCGTACGCTGAGGATCATATCCTTATCCAAGATTCAGTGGCACTGAGCTCATCTTACACACAGGAATGCTCTCTCTCTCTTTCTCTCTCTATTTCTTACAAATGTATACACTTATACACACGGACGAGGTGTCATTTGAAATGCCATTTGGAGACCAAATGGGATTCCAACTCCAACTAAACCAAACAAAATGAGGAACAGGTGACAGTGGTCAAAGGTCAGACAGAAGTAAAGATTTAGGGGTGAAGAAGAGCTACAGCATTATTTCATCCCCACTGGACACTGAGTAGGAGACTTAGGTACAGAGGAGAGGAAGGGTGCTGAGGTTACGATGAGACATGAGACATACCCATTTATCCAAATCGACTGCCTAAAGTTGGCAGGAAAGGGAGACGAAGGGTCAGGAGAGAGACAAAAAGTACAGGAAATTAAGTTACACGAACAAATCTACCCTCCAACACCAGAATATACCTCTAATAAACTGGCTTTTAGATGACCCCATGCACCCAAATATAACATAACAGATAAGGATTAAAATTAAGAGCAGCAAAAAAATACTGTTGGAACAAATATGTGACCCTGGACTACAAAACCAGTCTTAAGTAGCAAATAGCCAACAATACATTGTATGGGTCAAAATTATAGATTTTTCTTTTATGCCAAAAATCATTAGGATATTAAGTAAAGATCATGTTCCATTAAGATATTTAGTCAATTTTCTTCCATAAATATATCAAAATGTAATTTTTGATTAGTAATATGCATAGCTAAGAACTTCATTTGGACAACTTTAAAGGCGATTTTCTCAATATTTAAATTTTTTGTACCCTCAGATTGCAGATTTTCAAATAGTTGTATCCCAGCCAAATATATATTGTAATATCATAACAAACTATACATCAATGGAAATCTTATTTATTCAGCTTTCAGGTGATGTATAAATCTCAGTTTCAAAAAATTTACCCTTATGACTTGTTGTGTGGTTCAGGGTCACATATTAAATAGAAAATGGATATAAAATGCGGTCCAAAAAGTCTGACAATACCATTAAAAAAAATCTATCAATCAGTGGTGTGTGGTAATGTTCTGAAATGAGGAGTCAAAGTCCTTAAAGTTTTTTTTTTTTTTTTTTAAATCAAATGAACTTTTAACTATTTTTGAATTTTTCAAAGCTCAGTGAAATTATTAAATAGAAAATGGATATAAAATGCGGTCCAAAAAGTCTGACAATACCATTAAAAAAATCTATCAATCAGTGGTGTGTGGTAATGTTCTGAAATGAGGAGTCAAAGTCCTTAAAGGTTTTTTTTTTTTTTTTAATCAAATGAACTTTTAACTATTTTTGAATTTTTCGGAAAAACTCCCCCAGATCATTTTTCATGCCATTTAAGTCTTATTTTGACATAACAAGGTTATGTCTAAGTGTGTGAGTTGTTTGCTTACTTTTTTTAATTAGTCTTCGCATTAGCGCCATTATATTGTTCGTTCAGACTGATTCACGAACATGGAACTTGCACAAACATAAAATCTATCAATCAGTGGTGTGTGGTAATGTTCTGAAATGAGGAGTCAAAGTCCTTAAAGTTTTTTTTTTTTTTTTTTAAATCAAATGAACTTTTAACTATTTTTGAATTTTTCAAAGCTCAGTGAAATTGGTCACAGACACAGAGATTTACTTTAATTTCACCAAGCTGATTACTCACTAAAAACTCCCCCAGATAATTTTTCATGCCATTTAAGTCTTATTTTGACATAACAAGGTTATGTCTAAGTGTGTGAGTTGTTTGCTTACTTTTTTTAATTAGTCTTCGCATTAGCGCCATTATATTGTTCGTTCAGACTGATTCACGAACATGGAACTTGCACAAACATAAGAGGCAGGATTTAACGTATGAACCAATCACAGCCGATAATATCCAGTCATATTGCGATGGAAGCATTGCCTCCTCTCGTGTGACTTTCCGCCATTCATTCTCAATTACCCCCCACCAAACTCACTGCACGCTTTTGGGCATCTGTTAAAACTCAATGGGTTCAGGGGAGGTGAGTGAGACGCGAACTCCCGCAGTAACTTTATCTGCTAGTGTCGCTGATGGACAATGTTTCTTTAGAAAAATGAGCGATTTATACAATTTTAATGTTATATCACTACTTTCTCACGTTTTCTTTTTAAAACCACATTTTTACTGTAAGTTTTCTTTATTAGTTCTACAGGCTACATCTTATTGTATGTATTTGTAAATTGTAAAAGGATGTAATATTCTTTGTTCATCATTCCTTTTCTTTTTGACCCTCTGCTTTTCGAATTGCTCCCTGCTCTCCACCTCTCCATCCTTCTCTCTCACTCTCTCTCCTTCATGGAGACTCTCACCTCGTTCATCTCCACAGTGTTGGCCAGCATCTCCTGCAGGGCTCGTACTGACAGCGACTGCTGCTTTTGGGCGTCTGTTAAAACTCAATGGGTTCAGGGGAGGTGAGTGAGACTCGAACTCCCGCAGTAACTTTATCTGCTAGTGTCGCTGATGGACAATGTTTCTTTAGAAAAATTAGCGATTTATACAATTTTAATGTTATATCACTACTTTCTCACGTTTTCTTTTTAAAACCACATTTTTACTGTAAGTTTTCTTTATTAGTTCTACAGGCTACATCTTATTGTATGTATTTGTAAATTGTAAAAGGATGTAATATTCTTTGTTCATCATTCCTTTTCTTTTTGACCCTCTGCTTTTCGAATTGCTCCCTGCTCTCCACCTCTCCATCCTTCTCTCTCACTCTCTCTCCTTCATGGAGACTCTCACCTCGTTCATCTCCACAGTGTTGGCCAGCATCTCCTGCAGGGCTCGTACTGACAGCGACTGCTCCAGTACAAAGGCACAGATTGCCAGATCAGGCGGCACATTCTGCAGACCAAGACGAAGAAACACACCAATGTTTGGACTCATGCATAATTAATGGATAACAAAAAAAACATACAAGGTTGTTACACTGGCACCATAACTCATGGGACCCCGGAAATAATGTTTAGTGATGAAAAATGTTAACTGCTGCATTTTATACACTAAAATAAATATAAAACATTTTTGTGTGTGCTATCACCGGTGCGTGTAAATATAAGCAGCACAGCACATTTTCTTTGTCTACAAGCATGTACAATTTATGTCAGTACAAAGTAACAAAACAATACAAAACAGTACAATAATAATTTAATACATGTAATACTTTTATTAAAAATATATAGAAGTTTATCTATCTATCTATATACAAAAGTAAATAAAAATATATACAAAAGTTAGCATTATTCTACTTTTTTTTAGCATTGAGTATTATTTGCCGGACAAAAATAACTGTTGTGATATAGTAAAATGATCTGGTTTACTGGATATTGTAATGTGGAATATTGAAATATTAATAAAATAACATACTGTATATAAAATGCCATATTTAAGTAAAAATACTTTTAGATAATTTAAAATATACATTAAAAATGTAATCATTTGAGTAAAAATATATACAAATGTAAATATATATGCAAAATATACCAATATTTTACAATTTTAGTAGAGTATTATTTGTCTGACAACTGGTGTGATACAGCCAAAACATATGTTTGGTCAAATGGATAACTGCAATGAGTAATATAAAAATACTAATAAACTATCCTGCATACAAAATGTAACATTAAAGTATTATAAAAATAACTGTTATATAGCTATTTTATATATTAATATATAGCTAATTATTATTAATAAAATAAATGTGATCTAGCTAAAAAAAAGCATACACTGAAATAGGTTTTACTCCAGATATTTGTAATGAGGAGTGGCTTTCCTGCCCAGAATATCAACACCCTGACACTTTTTTGATGACTATACCTGGGCATTTGACGTTGTCTCTAGAAAGCACAGACGGTTCCCAAAGCCTTCACAGGAAAGGCATAGTTTGATCTGCTCCTTCAGAACAGTCGCGGTGCACTGGAGCACAACTTGGTCTTCCTGTGAGCCAGAGCAGGTTGTGAAAAAAGAAGAAAAAACAGAAGGAATACAAAGTGAGAGTATGAACAGAGCCAGATGGTGACAATGTGGTGATAATGGGGTCTAATAAATACCTATTCATAGTGAGACGTGCAACCATGTTGAATGATAACGCAATGATTAGTGAGACACAAACACACACAAGGGCTGGTACGTTCATAGCACAGCGTGTAAATACAGTAATAAACACACCCGCTTCCAAACACTCTCCACCTGTCATGTATAACAGCTGTTCCCTCCACTGACTGGCATGATGTAGCCATATCCTGCGCTCCCTTCTCCTCTCTCTCTCCAGCTTCATTTTCTCCATCATTTGTTCTCCATCTCTCTCTCTCTCTCTCTCCTTCATATTTCACTGTGTCCTAGTGTTTTTCCCTTCTTCTGTAACAGCACTTTTGTCCAAACTCAAACCTCACGATTTATCTTCTACCCTCCTAAACAGTAGGTTTCGGAGAATTTGTGTTTTTTTGCTGGTACGTTCTGTCCTACAATCCCCTGCACAGAGGAAATGGGGCCAGTCTATCCTTTGTAAGGGCACAGAGGCCTTTAAAACTCCAGGTGTTTATAGTCTCTAAAACACATCTAGGAAGAAAGAAGATGGCTGTATATGGCTAGTATTAAAGCCTTTGTGACATTGTGGCTATATGGTCAATAATACAGTACTTACTACTTATGGCTCATATGATGTTTCATATCCAGAGATTAAGTTATTTAATTTACAGAGATCACATTGACAATGATTTTAATAGTTGGTCACAATTTAGTGTTTCAAAGTAGACCGAATCGGACCATAAAGTAATAATGGGGCAGGATAAGCAGATATAGCCAGATATAATCAAGTTATACTTTAAGTATAATCTCAAGTTTGTTGCTGGAAGAGTATGTGTGTGTGTGTGTGTGTGTGTGTGTGTGTGTGAGAGAGAGAGAGAGCGAGAGAGAGAGTACCTAATACCCAATACTTACAGGTATATGAAATTTTAAAATAGCAAAACACTGGGTGACTCACACTCCTTGGACAAAATTCAAAACCCAGATACAAAAGCAACCATCCAAAATGTATCATAAATGCTACTATTAAAAGTACAGGGTGGCAGATACCCAATATATATGCATTTATTTATGAAATGAATGTTAAAGGAATTGTAAGGATGTTAAAGGAATATTTTTTCAAAATTCACAACAAATATATATTTTTTTATATATATTTATTATATATAAAGTGCTTATATAGGCCTACTTATGTTGTGAAATGCTAAAAAATGCAAATAAATACATGCAAATATATAAATAAAATTTTATATATATATATATATATATATATATATATATATATATATATATATATATATATATAATAGCTGGTCAGTACCTATAAAACAATTATTCTTTTCATTTTATGGCTGATGAATGATAAATAGTAAAATGTTATGCTATTTTGACTAAATAAATTAAAAACAAAACACTAAAACCAATCATTTACAATCCTACAAGTGAATTTAGACCTTCAACATTATAATATAAAATTAATTTATTCATTTATAACATTCATGAGATTATATTTAAAAACACTACATTTAACATTTAACAGAAAAAATTTACTAAAATGCAAAAAAAAAAATAGCACAATTACATATTTTGTACAATATTGTTCACTAAGGATAAATATAAAACAAATCTAATATGGTCCCTATAAAACATGTTACACGAATATGAGAACTTGATCCTTATGTGAAAGACTAAAAATATACACAAATCTTTTATGAATGAAGCAGACCCATTAATAACGTCTGTAGTGAGCACTTAAGCATTCTTTGCCTTTGCTGTCTGATATGGTGGTCTCACGGTAAGATGCTGTGCTGAGCCTCATGATCTGCAGGCTTAGCTCATCTTTGTATAAATAGGCCCAGAGCAGCTCTGGGATTTGGCAGATGCGGAACACAAGACACAAACAATCAGCGCTAATGTGTTGCTTAAATGCTTCAGAGCTCATGCACATTACAGTGAACAAAAGAGTGTAGGAGGACAAACTAGGTAGATTTGGATGAACACTGAAAGGGAACCTGAAAACCTGGGCCTTACCAATATGTCACACTTATTTCTGCCTCTTAAGACAGGTATAAGATTACAGTCAAACCATATTTAGGTCTAGATTCACAGCAAGACGACCGTAAATACACTTAGGGGTCATTTTGAACACGTTATAAAATTAGTGGGCAGATATATACTGTACGTTCAACAATTTCAAGTTCAGTAAGAATTTTGTAAACTTTGCGCATTAATGTGGTCAGTTTTCACCAATTATTTCTATGGATTCACAACAGGTGTGTACACACTTAAATGTCTTGTTAAGGCCTGTTCACACTAAGCATGACAACTATAAAGATACTGTATTAGTCTGTTTCTTTCTTATTCCGAGGTCACCGTAGCCATCAGATTCAGTCTGTATCCAGATCAGATGGTCACTGCAGTCACCCGGATCCAGTCTGTATCCAGCCCAGATGGTGGATCAGCACCTAGAGATGACCTCGACAGCCTGAATGTCAGTGGAGACCAGAACAACTAGATGAGCCCCAGAGACAGATCCCCAGTGAAGACCTTGTCTCCTTGACGGCCATCGGGACAAGACCACAGGAACCAAATGAGTCCTCCGCACAATCTGACTTTGCTGCAGCATGGAACAACCTGCTGCTTCGTCTGGCCAGAGGAGAACTGGCCACCCGACTGAGCCTGGTTTCTCCCAAGGTTTTGTCTCCATTCTGTCACCGATGGAGTTTTGGTTCCTTGCCGTTGTCGTCTCTGGCTTGCTCAGTTGGGGACACTTATTTTCCAGCGATATCGTCGACTTGATTGCACAGATACCATTTAAACTGAACTGATCTGGATGATGAAATCACTGAATTCAATAATGAACTGCCTTTAACTGAAAATTGAGTGTTTACTATTGTCATTTTGCATTATTGACACACCATTTTCCTATTTAATAGTGTAAAGCTGCTTTGACACAATCTGTATTGTTAAAAGTGCTATATAAATAAAGGTGACTTGACTTGAATGAAACTATATAATTTGTGACCTTTGTTGTTTTGCAATTAAAACGCGCAAATAATTATGCAATTATTGTAAGTAGGAGTACAATGGCCCACAAATATTTGAATGCATATGAAAATAACACAATTAACATGCAAAAACTATGCACAATAGATAAACTACTGGTCAAAAGTTTGGGATAGATGGATAGACAGGCTGTTATTATTTGATCATAAGTACAGTAAAAGAGGTAATTGTCACAGGGTTGTGGTTGTAGTGAGCGCACGACGAAGGAGTAGGAGTATTTTTAATCAGCATCAACCACATAAACCATTGAAAAATAACATTAATCCAGAACCAAGGAATGACAGAAACTGAGGGCTTATAAAGGGCAGGCAACTAAGGAGCAAACGAGATGATTAATACAACACAGGTGGAAACTAATCAATGATGATGAACTAAACGGAGCAGGAAATTAACCAAATAGGGGCAAGTAGGAACTAAACAGAAACGTACACGTGAAAGATCGGACGGAACAGTACCATCAGGGGGGAGAGGGGGGGGCACCCTGGAAGCCATGGCGGAGCAGGGAGCTCAGGAGGCCATGGCGGATCAGGAGACTCAAGAGGCCATGGCGGATCCTCCGTGGCCTTAGCTGGGTCGGCCACAGGTATATGCCTCCCCCCAAATTTTCTTGGGGAAAACTAGGAATTCTGGAGGGCGCTCTGGAGGAGTGGGCATTTGAGGGCACTCTGGAGGAGATTCAGAGACTGGAACCCTCACTGGGCTAAACTCGGGGACAGGAGCCCTCCGCGGGCTAAACGTGCAATCAGGAGCCCTCCCTGGGCTTAACTGGAGATACGGAACCCTCCCTGGGTTAAACGGGGGATCTGGGAAGCGCTTACGAGGTGCTGGCACTGGAGTGAACTCGGGGGCTGGAGCTGACACTGGAGCAAGCTCTGGGCGGGAGTGAGCCACGACCGATGGGCTTGACTTGAGTGGCCAGCAGGTTTGCCACAGAAATGGCCGGCGGGCTTACCACAGGAACGGCCGGCAGGCTTGACTTTGGCATGGCCGGCAGGCTGGAGAAGGGGTTGTGGTTGTAGTGAGCGCACGACGAAGGAGTAGGAATAAAGGAGTATTTTAAATCAGCACCAACCACATAAACCATTGAAAAATAACATTAATCTAGGACCAAGGAATGACAGAAACTGAGGGCTTATAAAGGGCAGGCAACTAAGGAGCAAACGAGATGATTAATACAACACAGGTGGAAACTAATCAATGATGATGAACTAAACGGAGCAGGAAATTAACCAAATAGGGGCAAGTAGGAACTAAACCGAAACGTACACGTGAAAGATCGGACGGAACAGTACCATCAGGGGGGAGAGGGGGCACCCTGGAAGCCATGGCGGAGCAGGGAGCTCAGGAGGCCATGGCGGATCAGGAGACTCAAGAGGCCATGGCGGATCCTCCGTGGCCTTAGCTGGGTCGGCCACAGGTATATGCCTCCCCCCAAATTTTCTTGGGGAAAACTAGGAATTCTGGAGGGCGCTCTGGAGGAGTGGGCATTTGAGGGCACTCTGGAGGAGATTCAGAGACTGGAACCCTCACTGGGCTAAACTCGGGGACAGGAGCCCTCCGCGGGCTAAACGTGCAATCAGGAGCCCTCCCTGGGCTTAACTGGAGATACGGAACCCTCCCTGGGTTAAACGGGGGATCTGGGAAGCGCTTACGAGGTGCTGGCACTGGAGTGAACTCGGGGGCTGGAGCTGACACTGGAGCAAGCTCTGGGCGGGAGTGAGCCACGACCGATGGGCTTGACTTGAGTGGCCAGCAGGTTTGCCACAGAAATGGCCGGCGGGCTTACCACAGGAACGGCCGGCAGGCTTGACTTTGGCATGGCCGGCAGGCTGGAGAAGGGGTTGTGG